TTTTTTTTTTTTTTTTTTTTTTGCAGAGGTTAAGGCTGCATGGGAAAGGCTATAGAACCAACAGGAAAAACTCAAGGTTCTTGATTAAATTATTTCAACTTGGCACACGATTACTCTAAATCCTTTGAGATATAAAAGTGTCAAGATTGAAAAGACTGACTTAAGTAGCTTAGACTGTTCAAATTTGACTTCAACCCTCTTCCATTATTTATCTAATAGTACATATCACCTGTTTCTATACATTGCAGTAAATACACAGATGGTGCTTGCTTAAGATAATCTGGAACTCAGATTTCTAATCTTGGGATTAGAATTTGCACTGATCTGACCATCCCAGTTTGACTAGGTATGAGTTTAGCTATACATTTCTGTGCCTAACAATGAGTCAGAGCGGCTGTGGTCCTTTTGATAAAGAAAACAATGCTGTGGCATTACTCTGTGCTGATGTTGAACCAGATGCATGAAAAAATGCCAGTAGACTGTCCTCCACCCATTTACATAGCAGAGTAGCACTCTGAATAAATGCACAGGATTATTTCTTATGGAGTGGGTTTATCTGGATGCTGTATTACATACCCAAATTTATGCGTCTGTCAAATACCTGTTACTATTTGTTTAAGAAGCGAGGGATTGAATCCCAGTGAAACTGTTGTGAGATGGAACACAAACCACCATTTGTTAAAAGTACAGAGTGAGAACTGAGTAGATACTGATTAAGGAAAGTCATAGCATCAATATCTTTTTATTTTCACCTAGATTCTTCCAGAATTGGAGGTCTGTAACTTACAGTAGATGATAGAAGTAGCTAACCAAGTAGTTCAAACCTTTCCTCTTAAAAACAATTCAGAGCCATGACGCCCGAATACATACTTCACAGTTGTCCTCTTGCCTTGACAGCAGCCTTGGATTTGGCTATAGGATGACTCTCATGCTACTTCATAAAGCAGAAAACACGGGAATAAAGTTTAGCTTTGAAAGTGCATATAGTAAATGTAAGTTCATGCACCGAATTGTCAGATGCTATTCTAAACTTTGGCTGTAAGCAAAAGACATACAAAACCGTCCTGTGCAAACTAACTACTGTAACAAAAAATACTATTTCACTGGATAGTACTTCAGCATTTTGATGCAACATTAACTGTTTTCTATCTTCCCTCTGTCTTCAGTTGCTTTTGCAGCAGTCTCCTTTGTTTCTTAACTGTACCATCCACCTTCTATGCTAGGATCACGGTGAAGATACAAAACTTCATAGCCATAAATCAGCATTTGATACCACACTACTTTCCTTCGTATAGTAAGGCCAGTTCTCTAAAACCCAAGCACAGTGTATGAACTTACTTTACATTCTGTAAAGATGACATGGGTAGAAGGAGCACAGTTGATTATTTCAGGAGTATTAATGCTTGCTTGCTCATACAAGAAAGCATTGGATATCTTGCAACAAAAGCATTCTTCCTCAACTATTGCTTCATTTTTGCCGTGTGCCAACTGAAATGATGCAATTTTAGAAATAAGGCTCAGCAGTATGATGGACAGCTGCCGGCAATTTTTCTTCAGTGAGACTTCTGCTTAGGACTGAAGTATAGGTGGTAGTTTCAGAGTTCAGAATACAATAGGATTTGGCAATCGTTTTCTTCCTCTGTTAGTCTGTTTGACACAGCACTCATCCTGTATAATGCTGTGGTTGGAGTGCTTCTCAGCTGCATCCTTAACAATGAGTAGAAAATTCCTGATAAATATTTGACACATGCAAAATATTACATCATGCAATAGCTGAGTTTAAAATGTGGCTATTAAATTTAAAGCTATCTACAAAAATCTAGAGCTTCTTAGATAGATTATCAACAACTTGTGCTGTATGTTGGTAATGAATAGATGCAAGATACCATTTCCTACTTAGGGACTTCACATTCCTTTCAAAAGCCATTATATTCTCTTACTTTCAAAATCTTAAATATTTATACTGAAAGGCTATGTTACATTAACACATAAAATTATTTATATCCAGACTTTCACCTGACCTTTCAGTTTTCTAGTATCGCTTACCTGGTAGCAAGTATTAATCATTAGTGCTATATTTGACAGCACAGTGGATTGTAAAACCTTATTTGAGGCAGGGTGCAGTGGTTTCTTTATTTAAAACACTGTTTTAGAGAGACATTTATGAGTTCTCAGAGGGCTGCTACAGAGGGAAAGTGTAACTGTAGCCATCCTAATACCCTTCCTGTTGCAAGTTAAGAAAAAACATTAAATATCTTGCTTATAAGATTTATTCTTCAAAGGTGAATAAGATATTCTTGCATAAAGACAAGTGGTAGATTTATAACTGACTGGTTTACTATGGTGTTTCTGAAAAACAAAATCCCAAACAAAACACCAAAAGCAACATTCCGCTTAAAGGTGTTACTTTTTAGTGTACACCTTTCTCTATAGTTTGTCCCTTAGTATTGGAAAGTTATCACAGCTTATAAATCAGCTGGTAACACTTTGTCTTCATTCTACTGGAAGACATCTTCTTTCTCTTCACTGAAGTAATTACTTGACAACAATCTGCTGAAGAGGTCACTGAAGTCTTCACCAGTTACATTATTCCAATCTGTAAGTGTAATGTGTAATTCCTCTCAAGGAACACAGATAAAAAACAGTTTACTTTTCAAGACTAGAAAAGTCTGGTCCTCCTTTACTGTAATTTCCAGAAATTTCTGCCCCGCTGAAGTCAAATCCAGGGTTCTGATGGAGGCAAGAGAAAAGTTGAATAGATAATTCTTAATTAAAATGGTTTTTTTGTTAAAAAAAAACCCCAATCAATCAACAAACAAAGAGCCCAAAACTGTTTCTGTTAATATTCTGCCATTCTAACAAGGACATATAACCATCAACTTGTCATCCATTTGTCACGGCACTAAAATTCTTGGAAAACGCATCAACAAATAAACCTTAAATTGTCATAGTTTGGTTGCCTACTGCTGAAGTGACTTTGTAATGCTGATCTCAATTTGGCAAGCAGTTAGATCTCCCAGTAAAGAAATATTAAGGAAAGTTTAAGAAAAACTTCTGGCTTCTGGTGACCCTTGAAATTACTATTTGAAAATATAAGTACCTGCCATGCTGGATAACAAGTTTCATAAAAATGATGTTCTTTGTTGCAGTATGTAGCGTGCTGATTCAGCTGTTAAGTAATAAGTTGTAATTCTACAACTCTGCAGACTTGCATAGGAATAGTTGCATGCTAAAGGTGTAGCAAAACAATTTAAGCAAATTCAGTAAAAGGGCAAGGAAAATGTTTTCCAGGTAACTATTCTACATCGTGTGATGTTATAAACAAACATATTCAATAGAGCTTGGTGTTAGAAGTTTGTTGACAATATGGCCATGTCATAATTCCAGATAGTAATAGAAATTGCGTGTAGCCTAACTTAAGTGAAAAGTTGTTAGTATTATGCAACAAACCCTAAACTAGCAATACCCGCCCCAAACTCATCTTGACTTCTCACAAAACCTTCAGGCAGACTACAGACAGAATAAGCTCTTGAAAGTACACTGATAAAACTTCGTGAGCATTCTACATATATATATATTAAACTACAGTATATGTTTCCATGGCACTGGACAGCAGAACAATTTTGCTCAGCTTTCATGGCCATAACCTCCGTGTGCAAACATAAAATATAAGGAGTAATTATGGTCCTTTAACTTGCCTCTCTTTGGAATCGCTCCAGTGTAAGTTTCCTTTGCATCTGGTCCTGTACCCAAGGATCAGCAGCGTATTCATTTTCTAACAGAGACGTCCAACAATTTCCAGCATCTCGATTTGTCTTCATTAGAACAATTCGTATCAGCTTCCTGTCTTCTGTCGAATGAAAACAGACACATAAAACAACCATTAAACTCAGTCCTATGTGCTAGTCTTTTTTGTTGGTTTGGTGAATTCACCATTAACAAGCACAGGATTTTTTTGATGAAGTAATTTAAATTCTTAACGCCAATGCCAACAGGGTTATCGATAAATAAACAAACATTAACAAGAAACAGAAAGGCTGAAGCCAAGATAGCCTATACAGCCACCTCTCCCCTTTCTGGCCTGTAAAAATGCTGAAGCTATTTTAAGGGATTAAACACAGTTCGTAAGTACTTCTGTTGCAAACATAAACTATCCTTTTAGTGAGGTTCACAACAGAGAAAAGATGTAATCTATTAATATATACAGCTCAGCTAAGGCAATAATGAAGGATTTGAGGTCAGGCTTTACAGAGAGTTATTACCAATAAAAGCCGGAACTAAGTTTTAGCGACATATGGAGGTATAATGAATTTATTTAAACACAGACAGTATGCTTATAGACAATATATTGGAAGTACATTTCAAAGTTAACATGTAGGATGTTTAGTTCTACTTAATTGAGTAAATACAGCATTACAAAGTGTATTTTGAAGACTATTCACATACTGGAAAAGAGTAGGCTTCACTTCACAATGTTTGTTTACACTTCTAGTTTCCGTGTTTAAGTAACTAAATTATTTAACAATATTTAGAATAAATATTGAATGGAAAACAAAAACCATGACAAGAAAACATTAAGTGAGAGGCACAGCCCACAAATGTGATTGCCAAAGCCCAAAATATTCTGAACACTTTACAATATTTATGAAGTAATGAACAGAGAAGCTTTTTTTGCTCGTTATCTGTAGGTACCTTAGTGTGATTTTTAGATTGCATTTTGATTCTCTTGGACTGTAGGTTTTGTCACCCATCCCAAAAACATAATGCATAAAAGAAGGACAAAAGACAAGAAAAGTAACAATTATGGGGAGGCGCAGACCACATAACTCTACTGTAATCGTCTAGCTTTAACGAGGGTTTGCCAAAAACTTCTCACTATATGGAAGTGTTTGTGATCCATCGACTACTGCCTTCCAAGATACGGCATTTTCCCGTTAACCTTAATCTCTAGGGCTTTTGTACCACCTCAGTTCCTTAGTCTGGCAATAACAATCTTTTTTACAAAGCTATGTACAGAGAAGAAAGTAATCTTTTCCATTAAAAAAAAGGGGGTAAATCTGCAGCATATTTTGAGAAGTTCTACTGCCCTCACAATGTCATTGCAGATGTAGGTTATTACCTAACGTCCATGTTCCTTCATCAGTTATTGTAGAGTCAAAAAGTTTACCCTGCAAAAGACACGTACAATATTACAAAACAGGAAAATCCATTCAGTATCCCGTTCATATTGAATTGTGAAGTTTTACTCCCAATTTACCTTCTTGTTTTCTGCTGAAAATGAATAGGATGATCTTGCCCAGTAATATAGACTTGCACACAGACGATCAAAGAATTATTTTTTCTTACACACCTTTTTTTTTTTTTTTTTAAATGAAGCATTTAATACGGTAAAAATACCTGTCACTGTTTCAGTATCTCAATTCATTGAAAGGAGTTGTGTTTCTCAGACGGTGATGCCATTTTTAATAGACTTGCCATGGAAATGCCAGCGTTTCTGCCACGGGTAACGTACAGCTATGGTGCAATGGCTACACGTTATGCTACGAAGAGTTGTTCGTTACCAATGTGAAAGCAGATCCGCTTTTGATCTGTTTTTTTGGCTTTCAGCAGTGATCGAAGCTACGCACTTAAACACTGCCCAAATCACTACAAAAGAAGAATGCAAATCCACGTGAGCTGGTTGTCTTTTATTTTTCCTGTCGTCTTTAAAAGATCGTGCAGTTCGACAGAACTGTTTGTTAAGTTTCTCTTTTAATTTATCAAAATCTAGACATTTAAAGAAGGACAAAACCCCCAACAAACCCCAAACCAAAAGCGCGACCCGGCAGAGAGGTATTTTAATCCCCTCGGGAGGCAGCGGAGCTCCCTGCAGCCGCCGGCGCCCCGAGACCCTCCGCGCCGGCAGCG